GGATGTTATCCCTCTGGAGTTGACATGGGAGGTAGGTTGTGGGACTAGGATTGGCCAAGTAGTATACCAATTCTGGATCCTAGAGGAAGTTAAGAGTCTCTGAGTGGTTCTAGTAGTGACAGAAATCGTGTTAGGGGTGATGAAATGGACAGGGTATATTTGCTGGTTTAAATGAATATGGGTTGATTTTACATTTTTTTTTCCTTTGTGGTACCAGGATACAGGGACACTTAACCACCGAGCTACATCCCCCATCCCTTTTTATATCTTGAGACAAGGTCTCACTAAGTTACCCAGGGTGACCTTACACTTATGTTCCTTCTGCCTCTGCCTCTCATGTAGCTGGGCTTATAGGTATGTATCACCACACCTGGCTTATATATTTCTCTTTTTGCAGTGCTGGGGATTGAACCCAGGGCCTAGCACATGTTACGCAAGCACTTTACCTCTGAGCTACATACAGCCTCAGCCCTTACAGATCTTTTTTACTTTCAGAAAATAAAATGTGCAGAAATCTGATCTTTGAAGCAGAAAAGTTAGGGAATTTTTTTTTGCATTGTCAAAATTTAGCTGTTATTCAAACAACCCATGGAATGCTCAGGGGACTAAAGCCTATTCATGTTACATTACAGGGTGTTTTCAGCACTGCGTATTTATAGAGTGCTGTCCAGATACACTTAGAGCTTTATGGAACTTGCATTTACATATAATACATGCTCCAAGTAGGAATTTCCTCTTCCTGAAAATGAGAGGTTGAGAATACATCCCTCTATGACTGTGGTCTGTATTATAAAAAACCAAAATGGCCATTGAGACCAAGCTAGACTTGGAGAAATAAAGACAGTTTCAGCTGACTGCCTCTATTTTTCTTTTTCTTTATCAAGGTTAAAACTTTTCAATGAATCCCTGATTTATTGTTTATTCTTTACCCTGGGATAAGGAGGTCCTTTCTGAATATTTTACTTACTGCAATTATTTTCAAACTCAGCTCAACAGAGTTGGTGTTTCACAAGCTGGGTAAAGGGGCACTGCCATGGGAAATTGAATAATAACCAACTTATTTCAGTTCAAAGAAAAAAACGGATATAATTTTCTCCATTTTAGGGTTTTTCCATATTATTTTCTAAAACTTGTGGTGCCTGCTATTCTAGACTTTATTAGATCTGTCACAGGACAAAATTATGTACTGAATTATTGTAATACATTAATATTTCATCATATTCTGCTAAGGCTATTGTTTTTTTGAAGGGCTCAGGGTAAGGCTGAAAACCCACCTTAGAGATTCTATGTTTCCTATCCAGCTATTCCCCTACAAACCTTTCTAACAACCTGAATGAATTTCAGAGACACAGGATTTGGTTGAAACATGTTCAGAATTGGCAATCCCTCTATCATGGAAGAGGACAGACAGCAAAAGACCCAGACCCTAACCTGCTGGTCTGAGGACTCTCTGGCACTTTGTAGTTGCTAATGGCAGTAATTTTCAAACTTTCTGGGTCACAGAAGCTAGAGATCAAGGGCCCACTGCCCCTAAAAGTATTCCCCATAGCCAAATGGGGACAAAGCCAGTAGAAGAATGTCTGTGATATACACAGACATAATTATGGTAAAGCAGAATAAAAAGAGCAGTGAATTTGGGCCAGTGGATATAAGTTATGGTTCAACTCAAGTCACCAACTGTCTGTGTGACTGAGTAAGTCTTCTCACATCTCAAAGGCTTGATTTTTTTTTTTTTTTTTTTTTGTAATCACTGTAACAGAGTGGTTACAAATCTTTTGCCAGATTGCAAGGGATCATAATCTGAATCTATTACTGAATCTATTACTATCTTATCTTGAAGAAATTGTTGAACCTCTCTATGCCTTATTTGTATCATCTTCAAGCTGGAGAAGGTAATAGCATCAGAAGTGTTTTGAAGAGTAAATTGGTTATTTCTTAATTATTATTTATTTATTTTATGAATTTTGAGGCAGGGTCTTGCTAAGTCTGCCTAAACTGGCTTTGAATTTGGGAGCTTCCTGAAATAGCCTCCTGAATTGCTGGGTTACAGGCTTGTGCCACTGCATCTGGCTTAAATGAGTTATTTAATGTTAAGGGTCTAGGAGAATACTCGGCACATAGTCAATGTTATACAAATGTTTGTTATTATAATTACTAACTACTAAAAGTATAGCAGCTGAATTAGATCATCTTTAAGACTCCTTACTGCTTAAATACCCTACAGATTGAACTCAGGGGCACTTTACTTCTGAGTTACATCCTCTTTTTTAAAAAATTTAAGATAGGGTTTCACTGGAACTTGTGACCCTCCTGCCTTAGCCTTCTGAGTAGCTGTCTTCCCCCTGTCTTCCTTATTTCAACAGGCTAGTTTACAAATTTAAACATTCAATAATTGAGCATTTCCCACATGCCTAGCACTAGCTTGTGTTTCCTATCTATGGATTAAAGGACTAGAATCATTTTAAAGGTCCCAACAATCTACAGTCCTAGAAACAGATTTGATGGTTGGGATACAGGAAAGGTGCTGATAGTGGCCCTGCCCTCCAGGAACTGAAAATGGAGCGCAGGGGTCCAGACTAACCTACCTGCTGTCCACTAGGGTAGAAGCAGCCTTAATCTACCCAGAGAAGGACACAGAACAATATTTTTTCCAGCTTCTTTGATTAGTGTGCAATTTTTTTCATCCCAAGATAAAATAAAGGACAAAATCTTCCATTCCAAAATACAAAATTTCATTTTATACACCCCCTTTTTTTTTTTTTTGACAGTACTGGGAATGGAGCCCAGGGTCTCACACACATGCAAAACACTGTATCTTTGCACTGTATCTCCAATTCCTCCCCTATGTTTCTTTACCTTAATTGTTTCTTGTATTTCCCTCTGTAGCCCATAAACACATTACAAGAGGTAAATGGCAGATATTTGATTCAAGTTGGAGAGGATTTTTTTTTTTTTTTTTTGGTACTGGGGATTGAATTCAGGGCCACTCCACCACTGAGCCTCATCCCCAGACCATTTTTGTATTTTATTTAGAGATAGGGTCTCACTGAATTGCTTAGTGCCTCACTGTTGCTGAGGCTGGCTTTGAACTCCGGATTCTCCTGCCTCAGCTTCCACAGCCACTGGGATTACAGGCTCATGGAACTGTGCCTGCTGAGAGGAATTTTTTTTTTTTAATTTTAAGTTGTTGATAGACCTGTATTCTATTTATTTATATGCGGTGCTCAGAATCGAACCCAGTGCTTCACACATGCCAGGCAAATGTGCTGCCGCTGAGCCCCAGCCCCAGCCCAGGAAATTTTGATAGTGGGAAGAACACTGCCTATTTGAAGGGAGAAATCAGGCAAAGGGTCCCCAAAGGTCAAATTAGCGGCCAGGCTTGCACAACTGCCAATCATATATGGTAGAATAAACTACCACTTTCTTATTTTCATTTCCCATTTTCAAATTATAACCAACATTTTGCTATCTGATCTTGAAACCCTGTGAGAAAGGGTAGATGGTTTTATCCCCATTTTATAGCTGAGGCTCCAACAGAGTAAGTATTATTTATCCAAGGTATATCCTTTGAAGTGATATATAGCTAATAAGTGATGGAAACTTCCTAACTCTTCCCCTGTCTTCCTTATTTCAAGCTCTCTTCTGGGCTTAGGAATCCTGGTGAGGATTTGGAGTGGACAAATTAGGGCCTTGAAGGACAAGCGTATAAGGAGGGCTGAGTCTGAGGAAGCAGCAGCTTGGGGTATCAGCCAGGAAGAGGACTGGGGTAAGCAGTGGGATATTGGGTGGGGAAGGGGCTGGCGGGGCTAAAATGGAAGGAGGAGCTACAGGTCTGGCTGAGGGAACTGGGGGCCCCCTGGGCTGGGACGCAGGCGGGGTAGGGGCTCATAGGGAAGCCTGGCAGGCTGCCTTCTTCCCAGCTCTGGAGGAATGGTACTGCCTCTTAAGTCAGCCTCACCCACAGCCTTGGAATTAACCCTCCTCTATTTTCTGGTTCCACCATCATTCTAACCCTCAAAGAGTTAAAGGAGCTTTCATATAATTTTTCCATCTCCCAGGTAACTTGGGCAGCTGCTTCAGACGGGAAATAAATAAAAGCCCCAAACAATTTCTCGGCTCTTGTACCTAGCAATGCACACCCCGCCCCTCACCCCAGCCGAGAAGCACAAACCTTTGGGTAAAAGGTGCCCGGGGAGGGACTCTCTGCAAGTTGGCAGGTGCGAGGAGGTGTGGGGAAAGGGCCACTCAGGGAGCGTAAGGCCAGAGGGCGACGTCTAAAATGCCTCTTCCCACATCCCCCTTCTGTGCCCTGGGCGCAGCAGGTTCCCTTCGGGGACGATGCCCCCCTAGGGCTGCCGGGGAGAGGAAAGAAGTGGTGTGTCGGCAAGCAGGCCGCACACACCTGGCGCCTTGTGGAATGAAATTTTAATTAATTATTAAACTGAGTTCCGGCGGGAGGGAGCGAGGCCGCCAAAGGGAGGGCTGGCACGGCGGGGTGGGGGCTGGGGCAGAGTGGAAAGGAGGGGTGAGGAGTGGGCTCTGGGCTCCCGCTCAACCCCTGGGGACCCCAACAGGAAGGAAGCCGACCCTCGTTGGGCGGGTGTGGCATTTTCGCAGTGTGAGGGTGGGTTTGTGGCGCGCGGACCCCTGGGCCGAGGGTGGGCTGGAATGCCGGAGGATGCTGCTCCGGGGTGAAGGGATGGGGGAACAGTGCTTAGCTCCCTCCCCTGCCGGGTCTTGATCCCAGAACAGTAGCCGCTTGTTTTCCCAAGACTGGGGGAGGAAGAGGCCGGAGGAGAGGAAGGGGCGCGCGAAGGGAGGGGTCCCATTCTTCGGTCTTCCCCCATTTTGACGACCCGGTTCCTCGGAAGGGGAATGGGCAACTCTGCCCCCCGCTCCTGGGGAGGGGGAGGGGGTGCCCAGACAAAAGGAGCTTGTGCCTTTAAGGCGGGGAGTCCGGGAGCCGGCGGGGAGGGGACTTCTGGATCCGGGGTAGAGGGCGGCTGCGCTGGACAACAAGGGAGGGGGCGAGGGCCGCTCGGACGGCTGGACGGCGGGCGGGACGGCCGGGACGCGCGGACACGGAGCAGGACCGCGGGACGGCCGGCCGGCCGGCCGGAGCCCGCAGGGGCGGCGGGGCGGGGGCCCCGGGGAGGCGCCGACCCAAGCCGGCAGGTGAGCCCGCGGGAGCAGAGCTGGGGAAGTGGTCACGCCGGCACTCGGGCTGCGGGGCTGGAGCAGAGGCACCCCGGCGCGGCTCCCGACGAGTTTTTTTTTTTTTTTTTTTTTGGGTGGGTGCAGCGAATCCGGAGATGGGCAGTCTCGACTATTTGGGGTGTGTGGGGGGACCCGAGGCAATGGGGCTGGTAAAGAGAAGTGCTGGAGATGGGGGATGAAGGAGTCCTCGGTCCCGGCCGGAGGGTCCCCACCCTCTCTCCCCGCCACACGCTTCCCTTCCTCCACTCGCTGGAGTTTCCAGGCTTGTCCTAAAGTGGGGGAGAAGCGTGTACTGGGGGAGGGGCTGGCCTGTGGGTTTGGCAGCGGGGCCGAGGGGTGAGTCTCTAAGTTTAGGGTAGAGTGTGTGATTGTGTTTAGAGGAGAGGGAGGCTCTCTGTGGTAGGCTCCCACCCTGCCCTCACCCCAAGCCTTTGGAATGAAAGGGGTGGTGTCATTCTCCTCTTTCTCCCAAGGCCTGCTGCAGGGAAGGTAAACTGTACTCAGAGCAAACTTAGAGGTGTGGGGGCGACCTAAAAGCCAGAGGTGGAATTAGGTGGTGAGAGACCCTTTCCTAAGACCTTCCTCTTCCTTGCCAGAGTCCCACTGTGAGCTGGAAGACCCTGGTGGGTTGTATGGTTGGGGCTGGATGTAGGAACCCTTTGCAGTCCTTAGGGAGAGCTGGAAAGGGAGGAAGAGGCAGTGCTGAACCTACAGATACAGGCCTTGGGGAAGCCTCTACATCTGGAAAGGCCTGGAATTGAGGCCCACGTCTCAGCATGGTGGGTGGTGCTGGCACTGTTGGGCCCCGCCTGGGCGCTTTTTTTGCCATGAACTTTCTGAAGTTGTTTTAAAACCCCTGGAGCCTTCTTTTGCCAAGGAGGGCAGGGGCAGATGGCCCCTGGGGATGGGATGGATGAGAGGTGGCCAGGAAGAGGATTGAGCCAAGCAGTGGGCAGAGCCATCCTTGGGGCCGGGCCTTGGCTTTCTTCAGACTCTGGTCTCATGGAAGCATCATGATTTGGGAGGGACTTGAGGTCTGGGAGGCACTGGGCCTGGGACTCAGGGCTGAGTGGGACATAGCTCCACTTGTAGGAGTTGGTGATGCCAGGAGCAGCAGATCCATGTGGGAGAAAAGGGTCCAAGACTCAGGAAAGGAGGTCAGAGATGCAAGGGTCAAACTCTGATTGCTGGTAAGGGAGGTGGTCTGTGCTCCAGGTATTCATAGTGATGGGTTTTTGGACAGGGAGGGTTGAGGGACTGTATAGAGAAGTTTTGTGGCTTGGAACAGTGACCTCCCATATTTCTTGCCATACTAAGCTTGGCATAGGGTGCCAGGAGTGCTGGGAGTCCAGCAAGTTCTCCAGGATGGGCAGTGCCTGCAGTGGAGCCCAGGGTGGGATTGTTGCAGTTGGTTGGACAGTTACAGAGCTCTGAAGCTATTCCCTTGTGGGGTCACACAGTGTTCTTGGAAGGGTGATATGTTCCCCTGGACAGTGTCTGCCCCTTCCTCTGTGGGTATGAGCCAGATGCTCAAATGTGCTTCCAGGGGGCTGGGAACATGGCCAGAAAAGGTCCTTTGGGAACAGAGGTCTGAGGCAGTGGTGGTTGGAGATAAGAACAGGGCAGGGGACTGGTGAATGGAAAGAGGCTGAAACAAAATGTCGTGGGGGTGGGGTGGGAAACCTGCTCAGCCTGGGTTCTATCCCCAGCAGCTCTGGGGACTGACAACTAAGGACACAGGGACTGATAGAACTAAGCATCTGACTGGCTGAAAGGATGTGTTTTCTTACTTATGACTTTAGTCTTTCCATCTCTTGGACATCGGCAGAGGTTTGGGTTCAAAGTGTTGTGGGGTGGGGAGAAGAACTAATATTTACCAAGTGTGAACTATATGACAGGTATTATTAGGTTCTTTCCCCAGGACCATTATTATTCCCATTTTATAGATGAAGAAACTGATGCAGGGAGGTTAAGTAACTTGTCCCAGGTGGAGTAGCTAGCAAATAATCACACTAAGGTTTGAAACCTGGTCTCACACCAAAGGTGCTTCTAATGAAATATTGTCAAATGCCAGGCTTCCTTTGGTGACCTTTTCCAAATGCCAGCCTGACCAAAAGTCTTGTAGTCTTGATCTGTCCTTCCAGATGACACTGTTGGTGATTCGAGTTTGAAGGGCATGCTGCTGTATGGAATATAGGAGAAGGGATGCCGACAGAACTTGGCTGAGGAGAAGGAGATGGAGGTTTTGGGGTGTGCAGAGAAGTCCCAGCCTGCCTTCTGCTTTTTGGGCCCTTGGGTGTCTGGAGTGCTGCTCATCTGGCATGAGTGTCTGGTTCTGTGGCCACCTGGGGCAAGCACTGGGTACACTTCCTTCCAGTTCCCTAGTGAGTACAAATGTCAGTGCTGTTTGCTCAGCAGGTTTAAGTACAAGGGGCCCCTCAGGGTGCCCTGTGGACATGGAGGTATGTGGCCCTGGTGGGAATATGGGCATCCACAGGTGACAGTTCTTTCATGTTCATCTACTCCTGACCTGGGCTCAGTCAGGAGACATGTTAGAGCTATTGTCATGGAGTCTTCCCACCCCAGTCCAAAGCTCGTCCCTCCGGGAAACCTGGGATCTAAGACTGATTTGGTTACCTAGGATCTCTGTAGCTTGGGCCAGACATATAAAACTGGCATGGACTTCGGCTTTTATTTTTTTCTGTTGAATTTGTCTTGTACCCCAGGTGGCCACTTCACAATGTTTTAATGGAAATCAGGTGGAATTAAGCATTTGAAAAGGCAGAGAAAGTTTATGGGGGGTATAATTCATCCATCCACTTAATATTTATTTACATCCTACTAAGTGTTGAGGATCATGAGTGAGCAAAACAGGCCCAAATTCTTGCCTTCATGAAATTGACATTCCAGTTAGGAGAGACAATGAACAAATAAGAAAAATACATAGAATGGCAGTTGCTGATAAGAGCTGAGGAGTAAGAGAAAGTATAAAGCTGGGAAGAGAGATAGGGAGCCCCAGGAAAGGGAGTTGCTATTATAATGTGGTTAGAGAGAGCCTCACTGATAAGGGGGACATTTGGGCTCTGACCTAGAGGAGCTCTTGTTCCAGGTGGGGGAACACGAGTCCCAGCAAAGAAGCTAATGTGACTAGGTGGAGTGAGAAAGATAGAGTCAGGACTATCATTATTAGCTGCTTCATTTCCATGTCCTTAAGCTTGCTTGCTTTCTATCTTTTCAATATGTATTTATCGAGTCCCTACTATAAGACGGGTCTACTACATGGCTCTGGTGATAAAAGTGATGAATAAAATTGAGTTAATCTCTGCCCTCACAAAGCTTTAGGTAGAGGGGCATGCAGAGAAGTCCCAGTCTGCCTTCTGCTTTGTGGGCATTACACAAGGAATTATTTAATTATAATTGCAATAATTATTATGGAGGAAATGTACAGAGGTAAGGGACCAAACTTAGTTTGGGTGGGAGAGCTGGGAATTCTTCCCTGAGGAAGTTATACTTAAGCTATGACCTGACTGGAAAGTTGAATTTAGCTTGGTGAAATGTGCCATGGGTATCTGAATGATGAGGAAGGATGTGGAAAGAGATTCCCTTTAGTACAGAGGTCACTGATGGGCAGCTCGCAGGCAGAGCTCATTCCAGAGACATGATTTATTTGGCTTGCAGTGTTGAAAATGTGGATTAGTTGCCAGTGTTAAAAAAATCAACAGATGTTGCATTGAAATATACTTTCTGATGAAAAGTCAGAAGCTTTGGCCCCACTGGGACACCAGTGGCAGTAATCTACTGGTGCCAGGTGGTGATTGCCTTCCATGCTCAGGGTATGGACTATTCCTTGCAGTTCTCCTGAACTATGGGTTGCTTCACCCCTTGACATGGGCTCTTGTGTTTGTGACCACCAGGAAATCAGTGCCTTTAGGGGAGAGGTGAATTGTTAAGTATGCTGGCTTTGGCTTAGAATCTTGGTTTTCGCACTTTTGTGGTTGCTGGATCTTGGGGAAGTTTCTTCATCTCCCGGTGTCATGGTTTCTCGCCTGTTGAATGGGGATGCCACTGCCTACTTCAAAGTAATTTTATGAGAATGATGTATATGAAGTGCTTAGCTGGGCTCTGGGAAGTGTTCAGGTGATGCACTATTACAGGTGGCAGAAGCCCTGATGGTGTTGTTAAGACCATCTTATGCCTTTCTTTCCAGCAGCATGTCATGGTTTAGTGGTCTCCTGGTCCCCAAAGTGGATGAACGGAAAACAGCCTGGGGTGAACGCAATGGGCAGAAGCGCCCACGCCGTGGGACTCGGTCCAGTGGCTTCTGTACACCCCACTATATGAGCTGCCTCCAGGATGCAGAGCCACCCAGCCCCACCCCTGCAGCTCCTACTCGGTGCCCCTGGCAGGATGAGGCCTTCATCCGGAGGGCAGGCCCAGGCAAAGGCGTGGAGCTGGGGTTGCGGGCAGTGGCCCTGGGCTTTGAGGACACTGAGGTGACAGCAGCAGTTGGAACAGCTGAGGTGGTACCTGATGTGGCACCCAGGAGCAGGCGATCCTGCTGGCGCCGTCTGGTGCAGGTGTTCCAGTCAAAGCAGTTCCGCTCAGCTAAGCTGGAGCGCCTGTACCAGCGCTACTTCTTCCAGATGAACCAGAGCAGCCTGACGCTGCTGATGGCGGTGCTTGTGCTGCTCATGGTGGTGCTGCTCATTTTCCACGCAGCACCCACACGCCCTCAGCCTGCCTACGTGGCCCTGCTGGCCTGTGCTGCCACCCTCTTTGTGGTACTCATGGTGGTATGTAACCGACACAGTTTCCGCCAGGACTCCATGTGGGTGGTGAGTTACGTGGTGCTGGGCATCCTGGCGGCTGTGCAGGTCGGGGGTGCCCTGGCAGCCAACCCGCACAGCCCCTCGGCAGGCCTCTGGTGCCCCTTGTTTTTCGTCTACATCACCTACACACTCCTACCCATCCGCATGCGGGCTGCTGTGCTCAGTGGACTGGGCCTCTCCACGTTGCATTTGATCTTGGCCTGGCAACTCAACCGTGGTGACACCTTCCTCTGGAAGCAGGTGGGTGTGGAGAGCACTTGGATAGGAATGGCAAGGAGACTTGGTAATGAAGGGTAGGGGAGTCATGGGTGGATCCCGAGTGTGGGGATTTCTAGCTGGGAGGCCAGGTTTGAGGAATGCCACTCCAGTTGGAATCTGTGGCAGGGGATGCTGCTGAGAGGAGGGAGGATTCCAGAACCCAGGCCTGTAGTCTGTCACCATAGATCACAGTCTCCAGCTCTTTGGCCTGAGCCTACTGAAATAATGTAGCCTGTAGAGAGACACAATGTGGGGCTTGAGGTGGGGATGTGATGTTTAGACCCTGGGCTACGGTGGAACTGAGAAGATTGTGCAGGTTGTATCCTCTGTCCCCAAGTTGACCCTTGAGACTCAGGCCCTGGTACCATCCCTGAAGAATAGTTCTAGGTGATGATCTGAAGGGAAGAACAAGTTTTGGATAGAATTGGTAAAGAAGGAGTCACCTCTCTCCTAGACTAAGGCTGTTTCTGAGACAACAGGGAAGGTAGAGAGCTTGGGTTTCCCCTGGGCTGGGGGTGATTTGAATGGAATTATACTAGAGAAGAGAGGAACACCAGAGTCTAATGTCCACACATCTTGGTCCACAATCTTGCTCTGAGGTTCTCTGTATGTGCTGGATACTGTCTTGGGGTGCTGAGTGTGGGTAAGTGGGGCTCAGTATCACCACATGGAAGTGAGAATAAGGGTGTGGTTGCAGGTAGACTGGTTGTCCAGTGTGTTGCATTCTGCTCTGTGGGATCTTAGACAACTAACTTGCCTCTCCAGGCTTCGTTTCCCAGTCTGTAAAACCAGGGTAAAAATAGCTTGTATCATGGTATTGCTGTGAGGACTTTACCCTTCTCTGAGTGGAGTAGGACCTAACAGGTCAGGGTTCCCACTTGTGGCAGTGAGCTATGGGGAGTGCTATAGGATTTTTGGGAAGCTCCTTTCAGAGAGACATGTTGATGGGTTCTCATGTTATCCCCTGCTGTGGTGCAAAGGCCAGGCTGCTGTTGGTACACTCCCCTAGTCAGCACTCCGTATGGGCAATCATTGCCACCAATCTTGAGTGCTGTCCTCTACTTCCCTCAGTGTGTGAGGGACTAGCCTCTGCCTTGCCCAGGGCTTGTGGTTTGTGGCCCACCCTGGTCTGACCATGGAGAGGAAGTTGCCTGGGGCTCCCTGGGTGAGGAGCTAGGTGCTCTGGCATGATGCCCTTCCCCGCCCAGCCTGTGCTCCAGAACACAACGTACCTTTTTAAAAGTAGCTTTATAGCCCGTTTGTTTGTGGAACACGTGCCCACAGGGCACTGTTGGACCTCTTAAAGGGCTAGGTCCTTCTACCCTTGCTGGTCCCCCAGCTTTTCTTTCAGGCTATTAAGGTGGGCTTTGGGGCTGGCCTGCCATCTTGGAGGAGAGGGAGCTTAGAGGTGGTGCCTTCCTTCCCCGTTCCTCTCTGGATGGCCAGAGGTGGGTGGGTCTCTTCTCTGCTCTCTGCTGGCATGATTCCCAGAGCCAGGCCTGGTACCTGATTGGGGAGGTTCAGCTTCAGGAAGGTCAGAACTGCCAGCGTCCCACTTCTGTAAGGGTGCCTGGCCTAATCCTGTGGGTCTTGGCGAATACATTTTTGGAGTGATGAAGAAAGTTGTGCTGCCCTTATGCCTATCTGTAAGGCCAGGACTGCTCATATAGCCTCCTATGAGCTGAGAACAATTCCCTGTGCCCATTTGGGCCTGTGTGTTTTTGGAGGGAGTGGGGTTTTGTGACCTCCTTTGAGCTTCCTTTGGTCAGCCCCTTCCCAGATCCAGCCCCAGTCATGTTAGTGAGAAGGACCTTCCTCCCCAGCTCACTCATTCAGACACACTGAGCAGTGTCACCTGGTGACCCCAGCCCAGCTGGCATCTCCTCCAGTGTCCTGGCATCCATTTTTTCTCACAGTCGGACAGGGATGTGTGTGAACAGTTATTTCAGTCTCTCATCCCCCTTCCCCTTCCCTCCACTGTGACTCACATTTTCCTTTTGGGCTCCTGGGGCCAGGAAGGGAAGTTGCCTTATTTGCCCCCCTTTTCCTTCTCCCCCACTGGGGGCTATTCTTAGAAGCCCCATGGGGAGAGAGTGTGCCCCCTCTTCACCCCTGCTGCTGGGAGGGGGACCTCGGTCTATTTGGCCTGGGGCCTTGTGCACTGGACTGGGAGGAAAGCTGAGAGGCCAGTCTTGTGGGGGTCACAGCTGAAAATGACTAGGAGTTAGTCAAATCTACTTCTCAAATTTACATAGAAGAAACTGAGGTCCCCTAAATTGAGTGACCTTTTGAAGTCTGTAGGACTAGTTTTGGTTCAGATCAGTTGGTAAGCTTTCCCTCCCTTCTCCTGGACCAGAGCCCTGCCCCATCCAGCTCTGGGGTGGAGCTGTAAGTGCCAGGTTAACCCCCTAGTTTCCAAAAGCACTGAGGCCAGCTTTTCTTGGATTTGCTCTCCAGCCAGCCAATGATAATGATGAGGGCTGACCATGCCTAAGGTGGGGGCCTTGGTGTGGGACCTGGCAGGGCCCAGCAGGATCTAGTGTGTGTGGGGGGAGTTATACCTTGGGGGTAGCCAGACATGGAGGTACCTCATCCCCAGTTATAGAGGGTTCTTTGTATAGTGGAATTGATGACTCCCAAGCCTGGGTTCTGAGCTTGGCCTTGAGCTTGAGTGGAACAAGGAGGACTCTTGGAAACCTGGAATGCACTAGGTTGGAACACAGGCTTTGGAGTCTAACTGTCCTGGGCTCAAGTCCCATACCAGCCACACCAACTGTGTGATCTTGCGCAGGTTACCAAACTTCTCTGTACTCTGAGATCCTCACCTTTAAAATGGGATGCTGTTGCTGTGGTGGTGTACCCCTGTAATCCCAGCAACTCGGTAGGCTGAGTCAGGAGTATTACAAGTTCAAGGCTAATCTCAGCAATTTAATGAGACACTCACAACCTAGGCAGACCCTGTCTCAAAATTTAAAATAAGTAAGTAAGTAAGTAAGTAAATAAATAAATAAATAGGAATGTAGCTTAGTGGTAAAGTGCCCTGGGATTCAATCCCCAGTACCCAAAACAAATAAATAAAATGGGATATTGTCAATTCATAGAGTTGTAAGAAATGCATAAATTAATGTATAGGAAGTGTCCATAGAATCCTGGCATGTTGCAGATGGCCAACAAACCAGCTATAGTGGTGGTAATAATAATAATAATTAATAATAATAAGAATAATAATGGTAATAATGGTCATTATTGTTATTCAGTATGCAGGGCAGGGAGAGACTTTAGAAATTTTTTTTATTAATCAAGGGATTTTTATGCTGTATTGAACTTTATAATAGACTACATTACCAAAATAATATACCAGTCTAAATTATTTTCTACACAAGATCAAAATTCAAAATCAGTTAGGCATTAAACAATAGTTGTGTTATTATTTTAATGGCAAGAGAAACTACACAGCCTCTTTTAGACAAATTTATCATTAAGTGGCAGCCAAAGTTTTAGAGATCTTCTTATTCTTCCCTGTTTGAGTTATAGATGAGCAAACAGAGGCCCAGAGATGAGGTGACTTGTCCTGGGCCACTCAGAGGAGGATGGAGAGAGCTCAGGCCTCCTGGGTGCTATTCTTTTTTTTTTTTTAGTTGTAGATGGATAGAATGCCTTTATTTTATTTATTTATTTTTATGTGGTATTAAGGATTGAACCCAGTGCCTCACACATGCTATTAGGCAAGCTCTCTGCCACTGAGCTACAGCCCCAGCCCTTGTGGGTGCTATTCTTCTGTAAGGAGAATCCCATGTAGGGGGAGCAGCCTTTGTCTTTCTTTTGGGTGTTTGTGAGGCAGGGGATCATAGGGAGCTGAGGTGGGCACCATGACCTACCTGGTCCTAGTTGGTGCTCCTGTTCCCAGATGCTGTGATAATATTACCTTTTTAGTCATGGAGTGACCCAGGCAGAGGGCCAGGATGTGAAGTCCTTGAGGAATGGGAGAGATATGTTTCAAGGATGGGGACAGAGAGGGTGCAGGACTATGGCTTCTCTCTCAAAGGGATACATTTAGAGAAAGCCTAGCAAGTTGTATGTGTGCATGTGTGTGTGTGTGTGTGTGTGTGTATGTGTGTTGGGGTGGGTGCTCACCCATCTGCCTCTGCCACCATCCTGCAGCTTGGTGCTAATGTGGTGCTGTTCCTCTGCACCAACGTCATTGGCATCTGCACACACTACCCAGCTGAGGTGTCTCAGCGCCAGGCCTTTCAGGAGACCCGCGGTTATATCCAGGCTCGTCTGCACCTGCAGCATGAGAATCGGCAGCAGGTGGGAGCTGTTTCCCCTGACCAGTGTTCCCCTCCTAATTCCCCAATAGCTTACAGATTGGATCTGCTGCTTGTTCAAGTCTGTGGAACTCTGTGAATAGTTCCTCCTGGACTGTGCATCACAGAGGCTCTGTGACACTGGGGTTCTGTCTTGTCCAAGGGTGGGAGTAGACAGGAGTGCATTTGGGAGATTGAGTGAGGGTTGATTAGAGAGGGCTGGGATGGAAGACTGCTGAGGACTCTGGTGGACAGTGTTGGGTCACAGTCCAGAAGGGAAGTTCAGGTTCCCAGAGATAATGTGGAAGGATTAGGAAGAATTGTAAAGAGGATAGCAGTGCCCTGTTGGAACCACTGGTCTAGGAGCGGCTGCTGCTCTCGGTGTTGCCCCAGCATGTTGCCATGGAGATGAAAGAAGACATCAACACAAAAAAAGAAGACATGATGTTCCACAAGATCTACATCCAGAAGCATGACAACGTCAGGTAGGGCAGGGATAGGAGGATACCAGGAGGGGTGGGAGGTTCTGGGAGACTTTGAGGGCTGCATGGCCCACCTATCCTTTGCTGTTGTTCACAGCATCCTGTTTGCGGACATTGAGGGCTTCACCAGCCTGGCCTCTCAGTGCACTGCTCAGGAGCTGGTCATGACCTTGAATGAGCTCTTTGCCCGGTTTGACAAGCTGGCCGCGGTGAGGGTGCTGGGGCTTGGGGTGGTGCCAGTTGTGGTGAGAGCCCAGCTTTGCCTGTGGCAGCTGGGGGTGTGGGTGGCAGATAGGGTACAGTGAGGGCGGTGAGCCAGGTAGGCTGAGTGGGTAGGAGAGTAAAGGTGACCCTTTCCTTTACCTCTTCCCCTTCAGGAAAATCATTGCCTCAGGATCAAAATCTTAGGGGATTGTTACTACTGTGTGTCAGGGCTGCCAGAGGCCCGAGCAGATCATGCCCATTGCTGTGTGGAGATGGGGGTGGACATGATCGAGGCCATCTCGTAAGCAGTGCTCCCTTCCCAGGATTCCTGGAATTGTGGGTGTCCCATACTGTTCCTACTCTTTAATGTGTCTTCAGGAATTTTCCTCAGCCTTGGCTCTTTCTCCGGTCTGTGTGAAGACCCATGTGGCACCTCTAGACTCCAACCAGCCTGGAGGGTGCAGGGAGCTGGGTGGTGGGGAATGGGGCTGCAGAAAATGCCAGCTGAGCAGGCTGAGGGTGAGAGATGTGATTCTTCCTCTGCCAGCTCAGTTTCACAAAATGCTACAGGCCCTGCTAACACAGCTCTCAAACCTTTGTCCTTGAGCCCCGTGCAGCCTTCTGCCAATGTCCAGCCAAGGCTATGCTTCTGTCCCCTGCAACTGTGTAATCTGTACTTGTCCCCTGGGCTGCCTGTGTTATGGACTGGGGGAGGGGAAGACTGTACCAAGAGCTGATCCCAAGCTGCATCTTCCCAGGTTGGTGCGTGAGGTGACAGGCGTGAATGTGAACATGCGTGTGGGCATCCACAGTGGGCGTGTACACTGTGGTGTCCTTGGCCTGAGGAAATGGCAGTTTGATGTGTGGTCCAACGATGTAACCCTGGCCAACCACATGGAGGCAGGGGGCCGGGCTGGGTGAGTAGAAGAGCCAGGTGGTAGGGGATGGGAAGGAGGTGGGAGATTCAGGGACTCACCTCCTTGTCCCATACAGACGCATCCACATCACTCGGGCCACGCTGCAGTACCTGAATGGGGACTATGAGGTGGAGCCAGGCCGTGGTGGTGAGCGCAATGCATACCTCAAGGAGCAGCGTATTGAGACTTTCCTCATCCTGGGCGCCAGCCAGAAAAGGGTCAGGGCCAAGGCAGGGCTGGGGGGGAAGGGCAAGCAGGGACAAATAGAGATGAGTCGGCAAAGACCTTCTTGGGGACCTTCTTCTAAACCTGTATCCGCACTGCCCTCACAGAAAGAGGAGAAGGCCATGCTGGCCAAGCTGCAGCGGACACGGGCCAACTCCATGGAAGGGCTAATGCCCCGCTGGGTGCCTGATCGTGCTTTCTCCCGGACCAAGGACTCCAAAGCTTTCCGCCAGATGGTGAGGGACCCTCGAGACCAGGACATGGGGCCTCACTTTTTTGTTTCCTTCAACACTGCACCCCCCTCCTTCCTACAGCTGCCAACTTCATGTGTGCTTTCTATTGGGGTCAGGAGAATGGTTCATGTCTGGGGTCCCATGTACCCAAAAGCATATGTGGGGACACCCTCTACCCAGTGTTGGGAATGGGAGAAGGGACTGCAGAGGTGAGGGTGGTGGCCCCTCCCCTCATTCACACTCTGTTCCCTTCTCCAGGGCATTGATGATTCCAGCAAAGACAAGTAAGTCAGGTTGTTGAGGAGGGGGGATGAGGAGGGAGAAGGTACTTACACCTGGACTGGAGCTGCAGGACCTGAGATCCCTTCTTTCCTGGGCTTTTGATATGTGTGTGGGAGCAGGAGCCACATACGTGGCTCACATGCACTGGCTTGGTTGCTGCCTATGCCCTCCTCCTCTCACTATTTATCACATGCTATTGCTCATGCACTTGGTGAAGCATGTCCCCTGCCCTCAGCCGGGGTGCCCAAGATGCCCTGAACCCTGAGGATGAGGTGGATGAGTTCCTGGGTCGTGCCATCGATGCCCGCAGCATTGATCAGCTGCGTAAGGACCATGTGCGCCGGTTCCTGCTCACCTTCCAAAGAGAGGATCTTGAGAAGAAGGTTTGGGGGATACAAAAGGATGAGGGCTGGGGGAAGGGCAGATTCAGGCAGAAAAGGTTGAACACAGGTGAGGGATCAGGACAGGGTTTTGAGGAATGGGGAGGGAGCACAGTAGGGTGGAGATTCATATCAATTGGTCTAATTGTTTCTCCTCCCCTTGAGGAGTACCCTGCCTTTGCTGTCCCTGCCTGCCCCAGGGCAGCAACACCCAGTGCTCAGCTCAGCCCCCTCTCCCTCAGTACTCACGGAAGGTGGATCCCCGCTTCGGAGCCTATGTTGCCTGTGCCTTGCTGGTCTTCTGCTTCATCTGCTTCATCCAGCTCCTCATCTTCCCACAGTGAGAGCCTTGCCCCTCATTAACCTTCCTGGAATAGTCATAAATACCCACACAAGCCCCCAGTTCCTGGAGCCTGCACCCCTGCTTGTTCTGGGGTTGGGACAAAGTGTCCACATCTTCCTGAGCAACATTTTCCCTGCCTCAGCTCCACCCTGATGCTTGGGATTTATGCCAGTATCTTCCTGCTGTTGCTGGTTACTGTGCTGATCTGTGCTGTATACTCCTGTGGTTCCGTATGTAGGGGGACTTCCTCAGGGATCTTGGGTGGTAGGGAGGGGGACCCATGGGGAGAGGGAGGAAAGGTCATTCCTCTCCTTCTGTGTCCCATCCATGGGTGGCCTTCCTTCTTGGCTGATGTGGCTTCTAACTTTTGGTCTTTTGCTACTACAGCTGTTCCCCAAGGCCCTGCAGCGTTTGTCCCGTAGCATTGTCCGTTCACGGGCACATAGCACCACAGTCGGCATCTTTTCAGTCCTCCTTGTGTTCATTTCTGCTATTGCTAACATGGTAAGAGTCCAGTGGGAGTTCTTCCACCTCTGCGTTGTGCCAAGCACTACTCTGGCACTGGGAATGCTTCCTGCCCTCAGGGAGCCTGCTGTCATAGATGAGAGGAATGGTTAATGCCAATTCTCCTTCTTCATTTCCTCCACCTCTTGTCATCCCCTGAGAACTTTGGCCCCTGGAATATAAGGCACCCGGGCATGGCCTTTGTAACCCTTCCCCTCCTTGTACCCTGATATGTACCTGACTTTTGCAGTTCACCTGTGACCACACCCCCATACGGACTTGTGCAGCCCAGATGCTGAATTTAACACCTGCTGACATCACTGCCTGCCATCTACAACAGCTCAATTACTCTCTTGGCCTGGATGCTCCCCTGTGTGAGGGCACCGCACCCACCTGCAGCTTCCCTGAGGTGTCCAAGCAGTGTTCAGGCAGAGGGGGGTGTCCTGGCACACTTTTTGGCCCTCCTGTGCCAGGCTGATGATTGGCACTGGGGACCCAGGAACTCACCAGACTCCCCAAGTGTGGCTTAGAACCCACACTTCTAAGTAACCAGGGGCCCTAGTGTGGTGTAGGCCAGGCATGGAGGGTGAGGGATATTGGGGTTTGAGGGTTGTGGAAGGGGAAGATAGGTCAGGCAGGGGAGTACAGGGCTCTTCCTGCCCCGGGTGCCAGTACCTCTGCTGTCACCCAACGCTTCCTCTGCCATCGCCCCCTCCCCCAGTACTTCGTTGGGAACATGCTCCTGAGTCTTTTGGCCAGCTCTGTCTTCCTGCACATCAGCAGCATCGGCAAGTTGGCCATGATCTTTGTCTTGGGGCTCATCTATTTGATGCTGCTTCTGCTGGGTCCCCCAGCCACCATCTTCGACAACTATGACCTACTGCTTGGTGTCCATGGCTTGTAAGTTTATTCTCAGCCCCCTTAATACTCCAGAAGTCTTCCTGACTCTGCTGGGTCACTGAGTCTCTCTCTTGTGCCCAGGCCCTTATATCCTTGGAATGCTACTATGTACCCGTGGGAGAAAGGGAGGAAATGGAGGAACTCCTGGCATGTGACCCCAAGTAGTTACCCTAGGGAAGCACCCCAGTTCTCAAAAAATCCCTGTCTCTTTAGGCTAGACGTTAACAAAAATTCCCTCTGACATACGCCTGGTGCTTTCCTACCCAATGTCTTAACACCTGTGAGTCACAGAGCTGCTTGGTGGCAGAGCCCGGGCTTAGAACCCACATTTCTAACTCCTGCTTAAGGACACCACACTGACTTTTCTTATGCAAAATCCTACCCCTTGTGATATGTAGCCATAGCTTGTTGACGTAGAGAGCCTCTGGAGACTGCTGGGTTTGAATCCCTGCTCTACCATTTATTAGCTATGTGACCTTGGACAGGTGAGTTAACTTCTCTGAGCCTCAGTTTTCTCACCTGTAAAATGGCAGTGCCACCTATATCATAGGGTAATTATAAAGATAATAGTAATTAACATTTATGAAGGTTTACTGTATGCCAGATATGGGCTAAGTCTTCCATATGCATTATTTAGATCTGATTCTTGTTTTGCTTATGAGGAAACTGAACTTAGTTTTAAGTAATTTGTCCTATACTAGTAAGTAGAAGAGCCAGTAGGAGTTAATATATAGAAAATATATAGAAAAGCTCTGGCCCAATGCCTAACTGGTCGCATAGGCTTGGTAATGCAGTCTCTGTCCCTTCTCCATGGCCTGCCGAGCAACCCAGAAAGCACTGAAGATGCTTCTTGTCTTTTGTATTTTCATGCCAGGGTTCCATCCAATGAGACCTTTGATGGGCTGGACTGGTAAGTGAGGGCTCCAGGGAAGCAAAGGGTGGGGCCATCAGCTGCCTCCTGAGGATACCAAGCATGTCTCTGCTTATCCTTAGCCCAGCTGCAGGGAGGGTGGCACTCAAATACATGACCCCTGTGATCCTATTGGTGTTTGCACTGGCGCTGTATCTGCATGCCCAGCAGGTGGAGTCAACTGCCCGCCTGGACTTCCTCTGGAAACTGCAGGTGACTTGGATGGGCCTTTGGCAGAGGTGGAGGAACTTGGGGCCAGAGCCTGGGCCAAGCCAAAAATGCATTTCTTGCTAGCTGGCTAAGGCTCAGGCTGCCCTAAGCCCAACTAGTCCCATGCCTTCTCTGCTCATGCCCTTCCCTCTGTCTCCTCGTATATTTGCCCCCTTCACCTCTTTGCCTGATCTTTAGGCCTCATCTATCAGTGTCTTTCTTCCTCTACATGATTCCCTCTGATGCTCAACTCCAGGCCTTGGCCACTATACCCACCCCTTGTGAATGTTGGGTAATGGGCGATGGATGTGGTATCCACAGGCAACAGGGGAGAAGGAGGAGATGGAGGAGCTCCAAGCATACAACCGGCGGTTGCTGCATAACATTCTACCCAAGGATGTGGCTGCCCACTTCCTGGCCCGTGAGCGCCGGAATGATGAACTCTACTATCAGTCGTGTGAGTGTGTGGCTGTTATGTTTGCCTCCATTGCCAACTTCTCCGAGTTCTATGTGGAGCTGGAGGCAAATAATGAGGGTGTCGAGTGCCTGCGGCTGCTCAACGAGATCATCGCTGACTTTGATGAGGTATTTGTCCAGGTGACCAGTGCTGGCAGACAGTAGGGGAACTTGGGGACCAGAGGAGTGATGTGAACTTTGGATGAGAAGGCCATAATTAGAGGGGGTGGGTGGTAATGGAGGAGAAAGGGAGATTTAATGGGAACCAGTGATGTCATGGATAGGGGTAAGAGTAGGTACAGTGGAGGTGAGGTAAAGAACCCATGAAGGTCAGAGGTGGCAAGGGGGGTCAGCCCCAGTGGGGACGGGACATCCTTATTGGGGAACAAAGAAGGTCATAATGATTAGTGAGGGATAGGAAAGGTACTAGGTGGATGTCATGAAAAGGAAAGCAGTAGTCTGACCTCATGGGACCAAGCAAATAAGACCATTCCCTGAATAGAGAAAATGGAAGCAAAATATGAGGAAGTGTTCTGAACATTCAGGTCAGGAATGGGAAGTCCCTTCCTCATTTTGGGACTCAGTTCCCCCCAGAGATGAGCGTTGGAGTAGTTAATGCTCAATGACCTCTGTGTTCTCTGAGTGGGTCATCACAGCATCACAGTTGATCATCCCAAGTGCTATTCTCAAGGCCTTGCCTAGGTCCCTAGACTGCCTATTTTCCTGGCTGCTCAGTTCTGTAGTGAGAGCAGCATCTGGAAGGGAGCTCATCCCTTAAAAAGTGGTGATGGTGGTGTGTGTGTGTGGGGTACTTTCAAGATAGAAATGAGGGAAAGGAGCCAAGGTATGGAGAGGAATGAGCCTTGGAGCAGAGCTGGGTTTTGCCTTGACAACTAGATTCCCCTGTATTGTCCAGATCATCAGCGAGGAACGGTTCAAGCAACTGGAAAAGATCAAGACAATTGGTAGCACCTACATGGCTGCCTCTGGGCTGAATGCCAGCACCTATGATCAGGTGGGACGATCCCACATCACTGCCCTCGCAGACTATGCAATGCGGCTCATGGAGCAGATGAAGCACATCAATGAGCACTCCTTCAACAATTTCCAGATGAAGATTGGTGAGAAGGCCTGGTTCCTTGGCAGGTGTTCCCAGGACTGTTTCTGGGTGAAGTTGAGGGTACAGGCTGGGGGTCACAGATCATCAGGGCTCCTGTGGGGTTTCCTTTCCTTCTACCTTCTATATCTATATTGATATTAAGAACAGAGACCAGCCAGGTGTGGTGGGTACACCCATATTCTCAGCAACTTGAGAGGTGGAGGTAGGAGGATCTCAAATTTGAGACCAGCCTGGGCAACTTAGGGAGACTCTGTCTCAAAATTAAAAAAAAAAAGACTGGGCATGTAGCTCAGTGGTAAAGCACACCTCAGCTCAATCCTCAGTATCACAAGGGAGAAAAAAGAAGAGAGGTAATTTATTATGGTACTTCTATGTTCTAGACTCTGTCCTAGATATTTTGAGTACATTTTAATCCTCACATTACTATTCCCTTTCTAAAGATAAGGAGAGTGACTCTCAGACATCAATAACTAGTAGGTGGCTAAACTGGGATTTGAAACCAGGCCTACCTAATCTAAACTCCAATGCCTGTGTCCTTATCTGTGGCCAGTTCAATAGAGGTACTTCCTCTTGAATGAGCTGGTAGAAGACTGTGGTTAATAGCATGGGTTCTGGACTCATGGCTGTTCCATTTATGGTTTGTTATGGCTGCTTCATCTACTGGTTATTTAATAAGTCACCCCAAAAATCTTGTCTGTAAAATGGAGATAAAAATACCTATCTTTGAGGGGCTGGGACTGTGGCTCAGCAAAGCGCACTTGCCTGGCATGTGTGAGGCACTGGGTTTGATTCTCAGCACCACATATAAACAAAAATAAAGATCTATCAACAACCAAAAAAATTTTTTTAAAAATACCTACCTTTGAGAGGTGTTGAGAGGATGCAACAATGTAAAATGTTTATTTCAGTAGTTGGCATGAGCAAGCATTCAGAAGATTAGATACTACCCTGTTGCTTGGACCCAGCCCACAGCCCTTGTGCCCAGACTTTCCACTCTACCACCAGGAGATTTGTTCCTTTTCCATTTTTCCTCTGAGCCCTTCTCAAGGTACCAAGAGGTGAGACGACTCCTTGGACTGACTATGGAGCATTCACTAGTCTCAATCCCTTGCTGTTTTCCCCACCTCAGGGCTGAACATGGGCCCAGTTGTGGCAGGTGTCATTGGGGCTCGGAAACCACAGTATGACATCTGGGGGAACACAGTGAATGTCTCTAGTCGTATGGACAGCACAGGGGTCCCTGACCGAATACAGGTGAGAGGGTTATGAGCCAAGGCTGGGAGGGGTATGGGTCCAGAGGGCTTGCATAGGTCTCTGCAGGACAGGGGCAGGGTGGCAGTCTTCTGTGGCTGGTGGGATGGAGGTTGGGGGAGGGGAGCTAACCTGACTGGGGAAAACCTGAGCTTCTGCAAATGCAGCAAGAAGGATTCCAGGCTAAGCGGGCTCCCCTCCCACTCCCCTAGGTGACCACGGACCTGTACCAGGTTCTAGCTGCCAAGGGCTACCAACTGGAGTGTCGAGGGGTGGTCAAGGTGAAGGGCAAGGGGGAGATGACCACCTACTTCCTCAATGGGGGCCCCAGCAGTTAGCAGGACCCAGCTACAGATTCCACTGAAGGGACCAAGGTGGGCATTGAGTGGATTCTGTGCTTGCTGGGTGGAGTTGTGGCAGGGGGCACTGAGCCTCCAATCCTTGCTGAAGGCAGAAGGGAACACACCCAGCATGCTGTACTTGGACCATGCTCATCTGCCCTCAGACTGGTGATCAAGGGGATACCAAGAGGATTATGCAAGTGACTTTCTTATTCAGTTGAAGTTGTGCTGTTACCTTTCCTTTCTTCCAACTTGTGGGAGCAAGGGAAGGGGCAGTGGTGGCAGGGGAGCTCTTCTGCCCGAGAGATTAAAGTGGCAACTTGCCTTGCCTGCCCCTTTCTCTGTTTGGGTAACAGGCTCAGGGATGGGTCCTTCCTTACCCTCCTTCCCCTGGGAATATTTTGTACAAAGACTGGAGCCAGGCATGAGGAGTGCCTATTCCATGCTTGCCTTTGCTATGCCTGCATCCCCAGCACTGGTCCTGGGTACCCCAGCCCTGGCCAGGTCTCCCTCTTAAGCATAGAGCAAGAGGGAGATACCCTGAGGATCCAGCTCTGTCTACATTTCAGGGGAATGTTTCCATTTGCCAAATTCTAGTCCCATGATTTGTCCCCAAAGGGGAACAAAGGGACCTCTGACAGCTCAGATTTAGCCCCAATTCCTGCACACTCCAGGGAAAGGGGTGTTTGGCCTCATTGGTACTGTGAAAATGCCCAGCCAGAGAGCAAGCCTGTGTATGGGGATGTTAGATCAGGAGCTGGACATTCACCTGCAGGTGCCAAAGAGTGCAGGCGGCCAGGGAGGGGGGTGGTGTCAGACTGATCTGAGGCCCTGAAGTGGCCAGGATCAGGTTCCTTGGCCCCGGCACTCGCTTGCTCTCTGCTGGCAAGGGGGCAGGGAGCATCTCTACCCCTTCTATTGCCAAATAAAAAAGGGTCAGGGCACAGAGGAAGATGACCCTGATCCCAAACCTGGTCTCCCAGGTCTCTGACACTGGGGAGAGCCTGTGTGTTTGTATAACTGTGTGTGCATGTTGCTCTTTGTGTGTATGTATTTTCCAGGTCTGTGTGTGTCCTTGTACTTTTGCTCCTCAGCTCTCCACCCAGGGTTGCCTCTCTCCCATGGGCCTCTGTCTTCTGGGAATAAGGCAGGGTTTCCTATTTCAAGGGATGTAGAGAGATGCCCAGGTTGCACAGGTATGGGATGGGGTGTGGTAGCAAAAGGAGGGTGGCCTGGGAAGGGGAATCCTTTTTGTGCCAAATCCCTAAGTGCCGTTTGGGGGCCATATGTGCAGTATGACTGTCTCCCTGCCTAGGGCAGGAACCCAAGCACTTGCTTGAGCCCCAGTGCTCCATGCACTTAAACTGTTTGGGGTTTGTTGAGTAGAGACTCAGGAATTTCCTGGGTTCCTCAGCCTGTATCCTGGGATGTGGTATGCTTTGGGACTTGGGTAGCATGGGATCCCTCTGAGAACCCAGATACTGGTACTAAGGGATGGGACAGGGGAACCTTAAACTTGGCTTTTCCAAGTCATTAGCCTGAGTCTAGTGTGTTCCTGGCTCCCAATCCCCATGAAGCCTGTAAGGGCTGGTAGAAGGATTAGGAGGTTAGACTCACATTTCCTTCCTCTCCTTTCCTTCCTTTTACCCCTTTGCCTGCAACTTCCTCAACTTTGGCCTGAATTAGTTGGTGCCTTGGTTTTTCTCTCTGTACCTATTTAAGCCAGAAGCATTAGCCTGAATTTTGCTTGAAGATCACTTTTGTCTTAGAAGTCAGAGGAGAATGGGGTTTGGGGGTGGAAGGGGAAGGTAGTGTTCTAGATCTTCCTCATATTCCTTCAGCACCAGCTCCTTGCAGAGATCTGGTTTCTGGCTCGGTACTGCTTACCTTGGGGAATCTATCTCCATGCATCAACCAAATGGGCCACCAGGCACATCATTAGCCAAGGCAGAGGAAGGGAAAAGACTAGCTGTTCCAGACAGAAAATTGACTCCTCTTTGATATCTCTGAATAGGAAGAGACTACTTGGTGCCAGGGAGTAGGAGTGAGGGTGTAAGCCAGAGTGGGAAGACCTCAGCCTTGAATGACTTGTCTCTGCTTCTTGCCAGGTGGGAGGGGCCTGTCCATATCCTTGCTCCCTGTACCACAGTGCCAGCCATGCCCTTCCCCTGGTTACCATTGCCTCTTTCCTCACCAGGTGGTGGAGGAGTCAGGGGATGGGAAGCCATGGACTTTGGTTTTATAAAGTAACCACTGTGGGAGTGGGGGAGGGTGGTTGTACCATGTATTTCAGTGAAATATTTAATATATTTAAATATCAATAAAATCAAACTCTTTGTAAAATTCCCTGTTCTCTGCAGCTGTTCTGGGCCCTGGGTTGGATCAGAAGTGGCAAAGCCTGGTTGTTGGAGGCAACCTTTTGCCCCAGGACTCTGTGGGACTCTGTGGTCCATGGTCTGAGGGCTTCCTGTGGCTTTCTCCCTGCCAAGGTAAAGCTACAGTGTCTTCAGAGAGTTTGACTACTCTAGGCCCTTCATCAACATGAGGACCAGCTGTGTCTTCCAAGATTTGTTACTTTGACTCCTGCTATGCCTTAGGTCTGGACCCCTGTGGTTGTCTTTCCAGTGCCTTGACTCCTTCACAACCCTCACACCAAGATCTGGTCTCTTCAGGAATCTCTCACACACCTCCTTTCACAATAATTAGGGCTTTGGAATGACTTCCCTACCCAAACCCTAGTGCACACAAGGGACTTCTAGTCCAATCTGTTTACTCTGCTTTCTTGATTCCCCTCTTCCCATTAGTCAAAGTCATCAGAACTGGGATACTTCTCCCTCTTTCCCACTCCTTGTACTTCTTTCACAATCCATCTTGTTTGTCCTTATACAATCATATCCTCCTCAATATAGACTGAAGTTTCTGTCGTTAAGAATGGAGTGATCCATAAACCTGGAAAGGAGAGAAATGGTCTGAGATTCAGCCATGCTAGGCTGGAGGCTTGGGGAAAATCCTTACAAATAGTCCCAAGACTACCTCAGAATGTGCAGGGGTAATGATGAAAAAGTAGGGGAGCAACAAAGGTAGTGGAAACATCCTCGGGCTCCCACAGGAATGGCACAGACATGTCTTGTGCTCCTCAGAAATCATATCTACAATGTGAAAACACAAACCTAGCTGGGCACTGTGGCTCATTCCTGTAATCCCAACGATTTGGGAGGCTGAGGTGGAGGATTACAAATTCAAGACCAGCCTCAGCAATTTAGGGAGACCCTTAACAACTTAGTGAGTTCCTGTCTCAAATTTTAGAAACAATAAAAAGGGCTGGGGATGCAGTTCAGTGGTAAAGTGCCCCTGTGTGCAATCCCCAGTACAAAACAAAAAAAGAGAAAGAAATCCTTAACTCCATTGAACCACCACTACTGCCCAGGTTCTGTGACCAGTCTTTCGTAATAAGACCCAAACCTCTCCTAATTCTCCAATGTTGAGCAGAGATAAAACAGCCTAATGATTTCAGTAAGAGGAGGGAATACTTCCCTTGGTTTTCCCACCCTGACCCCTCCCTAACCTAACCTGGTCATTGGGCTTTTAATGAGACAGTGGCGTGGGCTCCAGATCCATGGCATGGTTTTCTCCGGACGTACTCCTGGATCATGAGACCGCCAGAAGCTGAAGTTCTGAGCATCAGTCAGAGGGACTCTGAAGACCTGATTGGGGACTGAATGGATTGGGTGGTGGGGAGGGCAGGTTACTGAATTCCTTCAAGTTTACCACTTATTTTTCTCCCTCCCCAAAAGCCCAGCCAAGCAACTGGGCCTGACCAGGTGCTCAGAGGTCCTGGGAATGTGGTTACCACACCCTGCTTTACTTCCGGATTCCAGCATCTTACACCTTTCATGGTCAGATGAATTAGTCTTGGTTCTTCCTGTTGCTAGTAAGCCATCTCCAAGAAAGCTTCCGCAAGAGCTAAGATGGTGGAAGAACAAGTGGTCAACCCACTTGGGAATTGTATCAGATGGTGTCCACTGATTTCATTATTTTCTTTTTTTCTGGGCTTAATCATCCTTACTTCTTTCCCTCCTCTCTGAAATAATGCCTTCTTTTTCCTCACTCCAGGTAATTCTCTGAAACTTAACAATGATACCACCTCACTTTTAGATACAGATATCAAGTGCTATCATGTTCTAGAGGTATTAGGTATTTTTAAAAACTTACCTAGATACTTTTAAAAATATATATATTTTCACCAGGCATGGTGGTGCATGCTTGTAATCCCAGAGACTTGGGAGGCAGAGGCAGGAGGGTCACAAGTTCAAGGCTGGCTTCAGCAATTTAGTGAGGTCCTAAGCAATTTAGTGAGACCCCGTCTCAAAATAAAAAATAAAAGGGCTGGGAATGTGGCTTAGTTGTTTAAAAAAAAAAAAAAGGTATTCTCACTGTTCGGATAAATCTAATTCTACTTGTGTATAAAATTTGGGTATTTTTTTAAACTTAGATTTATGGCCTAATATTTTGGTTTGCTCTGTGGTTTTTATAATCATGATTTAAAAAAAAAATCTAATAATTCACTGAGTAAATATATTTACTTGTTTTCCTATTAATTAATAATAAGCTAAAAGTATTTTAGCTTTATAAATTAAACTTTAATTTTGAGATAGGTAGATTCAATAATAATACCTGGAGATCCCCTCAATGGTATTATGTTGCAAAACTATAGTACACTACTAGAACCAAGATGTTAATGTATTAATACAGAACTGTTCCATTGCTGTTGATCCTGGTGCTGCCATTTTGTAACATTATTAACCTGCTTCCTTGTTCATTTTGAGAGAGAGATAAAGAGAATGCCTGCTTTACTGGTCTACCAGTCTTACAGAATTGATATGAAGATCACACCAGAGCTGAAATAATTTAGGAAGGTTCTTTGTATATTATCACACAGTACCCCATGGTGAGTAGTAGGGCAAAGCACCAAGCTTTAAATTTAACTAAACTGAGCTTAAATTCCAGACAAGTTGTGTGATTTTGGACAAGTTAACTTCTTTCTTCTTCATTTCTATAAGTTTGTAAATTTATGAATGCTATATAAATGGCATACCAATTGTAACCTTTTGGGATTGCCTTTTTTGTTTTGTGGTGCTGGGGACTGAACCCAGGGCCTTGTGCATGTGAGGCAAGCACTCTACCAACTGAGCTATATCCCCAGTCCTGGATTGCCTTTATTTTTTGTTTGTTTGTTTGTTTTTAGTTGTAGATGGGCACAATATTTTCATTTTATTTATTTATGTGGTGCTGAGGATTGAACCCAGTGACCCATACATGTGAGATGAGCGCTCCATCACTGAGCCACAACCCCAGTCCTGGATTGCCTTTCTTTACAGAGCATAATTTTCTCAAGATTTCTACAATGTATCACATGCATCAAAAATTTGTCCTACATGCTTTTTCACAACAGTGCTAGAGTTTTATTCCCATTTTTATTTTTTAATTTAATTAATTTATTTGGGGGGGGGTTTACTGGGGATTGGAGTACTGGGGATTGAACTCGGGTACTTGACCACTGAGCCACATCCCCAGCCCTATTTTGTATTTTTATTTACAGACAGGGTCTCACTGAGTTGCTTAGCACCTCACTTTTGCTGAGGCTGACTTTGAACTCGCGATCCTCCTGCCTCAGCCTCCAGAGCTGCTGGGATTACAGGTGTGCGCCACCATACACATCTTTATTCCCATTTTTAGATGGTTCAGAGAAGTTAACTTGCCCTAAATCACACAATTTGTCTGGAGTTTAAGCTCAGTTTAGTTAAATTTAAAGCTTGGTGCTTTGCCCTACTACTCACCATGGGGTACTGTGTGATAATATACAAAGTACCTTCCTAAATTATTTCAGCTCTGGTGTGATCTTCATATCAATTCTGTAAGACTGGTAGACCAGTAAAGCAGGCATTCTCTTTATCTCTCTCTCAAAATGAACAAGGAAGCAGGTTAATAAAGTGTAAGTGACCCACAGAAAGTCAGATGTCTAAAATGAGGCAGAACTAGGATTTAAACCTGTATATTGTGCTTTCACGTCTGATTCAATTTATATTTCATCAGGCTCACCTACCATTCCAGTCTACTTTCTCCCACCTCTTCTCAGTCTCTCTCCCTGGCTCTTTCTCTCTTCCTGCCCTATAATCATGCCTCAATGATATAATCCTAGCATGGTACTCACTCCAAGGTACTTACATGTTTTTAGCAACACCTTCCGTACAGCTTCATTGTATCTCATGTGACTATTCTGGTGCAGGAAATAATTCCCATCTTCTGAGATAATGGGGGGAAGCCTAGTGGACACTGATTCCCTCTGGTCTGAAACAAGAACAAATTCATTCAATGAGTACCTGGCAAATGTGGCTATTTGGTTCTGTGATTCCGTAGTCTCCATATCAACTAGGTACATGGCAGGGATCTCTCCTAACCACTCACACCAAATTCTCTTTTTTTTAATATTTATTTTTTTTCTTATAGGTGGACACATATCTTTATTTTATTTTATTTTTATGTGGTGCTGAGGATCAACCCAGGGCCTAATGCATGCTAGGTGAGCACTCTACCTCTGAGCCACAATCCCAGCCCCTCACACCAAATTCTCAAGATCTCAGGAGTCAAATCACCATGACTGTGACAGAGGGGAAGAGTGATCACAAGAATTCCCTCACTGCTGTCTTGCTTCTCTGAACTCGGAATATTGGATAAATATTTAGGGTCAGTACTGGGGAAGATGGATCCTTATCTGGATAGGTACTCCTTTCCTGGGATTGACATGTTTATAGAATTGCAAATGGCCTAAAATGGGAAGTTATGTTTGATCTAAGTCTTAGGCATAAGTAGGAGTCCCTGAGCCACAGTAGAACCAGAAAGAACATTTTAGGGAGCAGGATGGCAAATGCATTAGAAGCTTTATAGAGGCAGCAGAGAACTTTTGTTGGTTTAGTTCCTGGATTGCTGGGTGAAGTGGAAAGGGACAAGGGATGGGACTCGTAAGGTAGTGTAGTGATTACCTAACATTCGTTATGCTTGGGAAGCATCTCTTATGAAACAAAACCTGTATCTCACTTTAGAGGCTGAGAAAACCAGATCTTTCTCACTCAGGCTCTTTCACAGCAAGGACGTAGACAAAAACTTTTGGCTAGTCTAATTAAATACATCTGATCCAGATTTTGAATCAAACATGAGGTTGGAAGGGAGATGTGGCTAGATAAAGTTTATTATTATTTTTCCTAGTGATGGGCATTGGGAGAAGTGTCACTAAATCTTGTTTCTCAACAGCAGTATAGCAGTATCCAGGACTCTGTGTCCTTGGTGTCAGCAGTGCCCACTGAATGTAGGTAATGTCTCTGCCAAACCACGTCTGTGGCATGATTCTGAGCATTGTTATTGGTTATTCCACATCAAGCTTGGTTCTCCATTCCCCCTGCAGCTTTTATATGCTTCCCAGTGTTCTTTTTTTAAAATATTGTGTCCATCTACAATTAAAAAAATAAATATTAAAATAAATATATTGTGTCCATATACAATTAAAAAAATAAATATCTTTATTTGTCTTATTTTTATGTGGTGCTGAGGTTCGAACCTAGAGTCTTAGACATGCTAGGTGAGCACTCCACCCCTGAGCCACAACCCTAGCATCCCCCCAAGTGTTCTTTTATAATGCATTCATGGGCTGGGGTTGTCGCTAAGTGGTACAGCATTTGCTTTGCACATGTGAGTTACTGGGTTTGATCCTCAGTACCACATAAAAAATAGATGAATAAAGTTATAACGTCCATCTATAACTAAAATATTTTAAAAATAGAATACATTCATGTTCTACTTAAATAGGCTAGATTCAGCTTGCATTTCAGAATCTTGAACAAGAATGGATGGATTTGAGAAAATTTAGGATGCAGAAGAATATGACTTAGGGAGTGAGAAAAAGGGAAGTATTCAGGGTAGCTTCCTCCAAGATTTCTGTCTCCTGGCCATTACATCCATTCTGTCATCCAAGGGGAAAAAGGTGCTAGGCCCCTTGCTGTCTTTCCTCCAGCTAGTGTCTGATGTAGAGTAGAATCCAGCTCTACATCTGATGTTTTCAATGCCTTGTTCTGTTGATATCAAGTAGTGGCTTTGTCCCACCCTCTCAGATTTTTATATTTCTTGTTTTTTGATGCTTGTCAGGAACTAGATGTGGTCCAGTATTTGCCATTCTCTCTGAAAATGGTTGAGGATTGCTGACTCATCTCTGGTGAAGTGTAGGGATGCTACTTTTGTAGGGCTATTCCTGATTTTCTCTTAGCTTGGCCCCACTCATTCATCATCTCTGATCCTTCTCTCTCCCTTTTTCCCTCAAATCAAAATCTCCTCTAACATTATGTATTTGAAATAATTATAATAGGGTGGGATACAGTTTGAACCTCCTCCCTGTATATCTGAGGACCTAAAAGAAGTGGCAGTATTAAAGCCTTGTTTAGAGTATAGAGTTTTGGAAGCTTAGACTGAACCAGAGGGGTGATTTGTATTTCATCACAGGTTATTGCAATGAGGGACCATTTCCTAGAAGCAGTGACATTTGAGTTTGTCATTTGAATTTAGGATCCCAGAAGTGTGACTTCTAGATTAAGGCTTGGGACACAGTGGTGATAATATCCAACACACATTAATTGCTATTGTCTAGGAGTTGGATTGCTGTACGCAGAGTAATACCACACTGAGTAGAAATTCATGCAAGGTTAGCTTGAGAGAAAATGTTAATGATATTGTACATAAAAATGACTCTTCTCTAGGAAGTCATATCAAATATTGGACATTAATCCCTTGAAGTTGGCTGGAACATTAAGATGTACTGAAATCAGCTGAAGTGTGTTTGGAGGGCTATCTTGCACTTACTGTCTTCCCTGATGCAAGGAAATTACCAATGTTTTGGGATGAAGTGAAGAGGAGCCCAGGAAAGCATATATCCAGGGAACGAGACCAATCCCCAGAGCATGTTTTCCATATGGGGGCAGTTCTTTTGCCTCCACATTCAAAAATACCTTTCTCACAGTGGTGTACTTGTTCAGAATTCTGAACACAGGGGAAGTAGATGGGCCATGAGACAGCAATGGAACTTAGTGCTGGTTGCAGACTGCTGATTAAAGTGGATTGCATGGATTTTCTAGAGATAATAACAATAAAAGTAGCCAATACTTGATAAACGTGTTTAACACAACTCTGTAAGGTAAGACCTACTGTTATTTTATAGAGGGGAGACAGAGGCACAGAGAATTTTAGAAATTTTCCCAAGGTTATAAAACTAGCTTGTGGTAGAGACACAAGTTAACCCAAGAAGCTTGGCTCTGGAGCCCACGCTCTTACTCCTAGACTGCACTGCCCCTTGAAGTAACCTCATCAGGACTTTCAGGAAGGACCAAGGAGGACTTAAGATTAATAGAAGCAGCCCTGTGATGAGCTCCTTTCACACAGCTCATTAGAGACCCTATGAAGGGTGTCTGTTCACCTGGAGTAGCCTTGAGTTGAGTAGGAGATATGATAAAATTGCCTTGATATGGAGGCAGAACCCTGCCTCTCTGAATTCTACCAAATGTGGAACTTCATTTCCTATGGCCAGTCTCAGGATAGCAGAGTACTGAATCTTGGTGAATCACTCTACCAGTGCATTGGACCAGTCCTAGTAGGGAAGACTGGTGGGGAAAGGCTGAGCTCCTGTGGAAAAAGTGTCCTGTCTGCTGCTTACAGACATGGTTGCCTGCTTGGAGCCCACTCCCTAGGCTTCAGCAAAGTGTGTCTATGACTAGCAAGAGTGCCTCCTTCTAGTTTCATGTGGATAGGGTATGGTGGTCTGTAGCAGTTACGAGACAATGTGGGTTATTTCCAAGATACATTTCTATAACTTTGATAGCAGAGGGGCTCAGGCTGTGACCAGTTCATTCTTGGGTGAATATTGTGCTATTCATGCTCCTGTTTGAAAAGCCAGACCTACAGTGCCCTCTGCTGGAATATAAGAGTAGCACTTCCAGTCATCTCTTGACCTGTAGGTCACCAAGCAAGGAGCTCAGAGAGGCCAGGAGGCCTAGGAGATTGAGCAGAAGACATTCCAACCAGGATTGGGAAAGCAACTGTTGCATCCTATGACAGGATTCAGAAAATAAGAACATAAGAGAGTTAGTTGTATTCAGCTTTTTACCAGTCTTGAGATTAACCTTTCATTGAAGAAATTAATTTGAAACTAGAAGTGAGAGCAACTCTGAAGACATGTTAGTAAATTCCTCTGGGAAGGGGAATAAGGACAAGCAATGGAGGAAACTGAATTGAGGCCCTTTGGATGTGCAGAACTTGGAGGTCTGTGTGTCTGTGGTTAGAAGCCAGTCACTAGAGTCTATCAGGGAGAGGTAATTTGTTTCAAGAAAGAACAAGCATAATTTCTCTCTACCACCCACCCCCATCCATTGGCCTCTGAGAACTCCATTCAGTGGGCAATGTCCTGACTTCCTGTACTTGTGAGATCCAACTTGACCTAGGGTCTTCAGATAATAAGGCAAGGAAGTCATCCCAGCAAAGGGCCAGATTAGAGGCAGTTTATTTGAAAATTGGTCTTGACCAAGACACTTTTGGACCAAGAGGAGTGTGTAGGTATGAAGCTAAGAGTGATAGGAGAACAGGGCTCAAAGCAGGAGGTGAAACAGATTTAGCAAAGGAAGGGGCATAAATATAAAGGCTTGCTCACCCAGGCAAACTTACATACTCAAGAGACCAGGGCATAAGATTCTGAATGAATTCTGGAAGCTAAGCTGAGCCTGTAGAACAACTCTGATTATGATTAGGAAGGGTGAGTCTGGGAGGGATAGGAATGGTTGGTGGAAGAGAGTTCTAGTCATTGGTCAGAAGTGCTCTTCTGTGGGTAGTTGTAGTTGATCAGGCTCTTTCAGGGACTATATGAAATATCCTTTGAAACTAGCAATTTTTACTCCTCAATAAATAAATACATTAAACAAAGGTCCATCAACAACTAAAAAAAGTATTTAAAAAACCCTAAAACACAGTTTAGTAACAGTTAACAGTGTTTCCTGTTTTCCAGCTGGGAACAGGGTGCACACAGGTAATTCCGGCAACTCGGGAGGCTGAGGCAGGATTGCAAGTTTGAGGCCAGCCTCAGCAACTTAGTGAGGCTGTGAGCAACTCAGTGAGGCCTTGCCTCAAAATAAAAAAAATAAAAATGACTGGGGATGTAGCTCAGTGGTAAAGAGCCTCTGGGTTCAATCTCCAGTACTAAAATAATGACGACAACAACAAAGAAAAAGCAGATGGGGAGGGGGGAGGGTGGAGGATGGGAA